GGAGGAGGAGGAGGGGGGCGGGACCCACAGATGATTTTACAAATGAAACCAGCGCCGCCGCTGATTCTAGAATCTAAAGATAATACAAAGATCTCAAAAGGTATCTTTTTTTCTTTTTCTTTTTTTAACATCATAAATCTCTCCAGAAATTTTCAACCGCTGCAAACTTTCTTGTAAAGTTCAAAAGCTCACAAGGTGTCATATGAAGATATTTCTCAAAGTATCCAAGTCAAAATATTTTTTTTTCTTTTTTTTCTCTTTTTTTTTTTTTAGTTCCAGGTCCAGTAAAAAGTTTCTCCAAATTTTTCTTTTTATAAAAATAGATGCTTTTTAAACCCACATCAAAGAGGTTCTTAGCTCTTTGGCAAGGTACTGCTTTAAGAATTTTTTTTGTCTTTTCTTGTTTTTTTTTTCTCCGTTTTTTCTTTTTTGTTTTCCTCCCCGTTGAGTTTTTACAATAATAAGCAACATTATGCAGCCAACCGATAACCAACTGATATTTACGACAAACGGAATACTTACGAAATCAAAACAAAAAAAAACAAAAACGCAAAGCACTCGCTAACCACTGGAGGCGCAACGCACAGAAAGGTACAAAACAAAAAGAGCACCACACAAAACCTTCACAAGACTGTTTCCAAAGCAGATGTGCAAACGAAATGACAAAGAACCGATATTAAACGTCTTCAGATGGTCCATCTGGAGAGACAGCGAGAGAATTCGACGCCGCAGGCACCCACGCCTGCGCTACTTTTTTTTCTGTTTTAAAGTATATTAAGAAGATTCAGCAATGAAAGAAGAAGAAGAAGAAGAAGGAAAAACAAAATAAAGAAATCACATTGTTGGACGCTAAATATCGTTTTTCTTCGCAACACCGATTTACAAAGCCGTTGTTTGTTTTTGTTTTTTTCCTTTTCTTTTTTACTAATGTAGAAAGTTACGGTCGACACGCTTCCATTTCCTGCCTCCGTTTTTTTCCGGTGAGTTTTCTAGAAACGACGTGGGCGGGGCGTTAGGCTTTGTGCGTTTTGTTGGTCTTGAACGACACTTGCAGAACTCTGTCCCCGAGGCGGTATCCGTTCAAGCTGGCGATGGCCACGGCCGCCTCGTCGTAATTAGTCATGGTGACAAAACCGAATCCTTTGCACTTGTTTGTGTTGAAGTCGCGGATGACCTTGACGTTTGTGACGGCGCCGAACGGCCCGAACATCTGCCACAGGATGCTCTCGTCGGCGTCCGGGGCCAGGTTGTAGACGAAGATGCACCAGCCGGTGCCGGCGTGTCCGGGGATGTTGATGCCGGCCAGGCTGGTCACCCCGTCGATGGCCATGGGGGAGAACCGGCTGCAAAGACACAAGAAAGAAGCACAAAGTGAGCACAGGACGAGAGACGGTGCCAACAAGAACAACAGCAGACTCTACGGGGATCGTCCACGCTTTCATCCTGATCCACCGGCTGCACTCACGCAGCCTAAGAAACGGTTCTGTTCTCCAGCAGGGCAGCGAGTTGTGAAGTCAGAGAAGCGTCGACAAGGCCGACACGTTCCCATTACTCGTCTCACGCAGGTTATTTGGAGACAAAACAAGCACTTCTGAGCTGCTTTCATCAGAGTTTAACAAAGACAGAGGCACTGAAATCAAACGGTGGCACCGAATAACGGGACATCAACACCATTTAAACACCGGAGAACTTGGAAAACTGTTCTTTATAAGAAACCAGATGGTCAAATTGATGTTTTCTTCATTGGTTTATGTCTGTTTTTGGCTCGGCTTTAGGTTATAAATGTCAAAAAAGATCAACTATCGCTCAGATTATGCATCTACAAGCTAACATATACACACCATTACTCATGTTATCTACAACTATTACAACCGTTTCTTAGCTTAATGAATGACAGCAGCACAGAAATCCAACACTAGCCAATAGTAAAGGGAAATAAACACCAGCGCATGTGAAAAAGTGTTTCTTTATAAGAAACCAGACGGTCAAATTAATGTTTTTTGCAGGTTTATGTTTGTTTTTTAGCTGAGCTTTGGGTTAGAACTGTCAAAAAGGCTCAGCCGTCACAACAAGTTCACATAAAGGCACCGTTTCTCATCTCATGCAGGTTATTTACAGATAAAACCAACACCCATAAGCAGCTTTTTTAGTTTAAATCAAAAGCAGGAAGGTATAAACACTATGAATGTCAGAGCAGGTAAAAAAAAAAAAACCTCATTCTTTGTCAGAAATTAAATGATCAGATTGGTTTATGTCTGTTTTTCCAGCTGGGCAGTGGGTTAAACAGCCAAAAACCGCTGAACTGTCGTTTAATTTTGCATCTTCGAGGTCGACATTATCATAAACGCACCATTTCTTATCTCATAGAACCACTTCTTAGCTGCTCTTTCAGGTTAATCCAGCAGAAAAATTAAAAAACTGCAGCTTTTAATGGGAAATAAACACCATTTAACGCCAAAGCTTGTTTAAAAAATGCTTCTTTATGAGTAATTTGACAATTAAACTGATATTTTTAGGTTATTTTTTGAAGCTGGGCAGGAAGCTACAGCTCAAAAGCTCATCTTAGACTGATCACTTATATAATCTAGAGATGACCATTTGTTAGCTTCTTTTTCAACTTTAAAACTCAAAAATCAAAATTTCTGGGATTGTCAGCTCAGTAGAAATAATTAGGAATGGATCCATTAGCAGAAAATTGATATATTTGGTTTAAATATCGATTTTAAAGATGAAATTATGCATTTGGGGCGACGAAATGTTTAAAAACTGGAGTGCTAATGATGAGAAATGACTCCATCACATAAACAAGCAAAGTTTTATCGTATGTGAACTAAATGGATCGAATACTTAAAACCCATCAGGTCTGATTTTACATGAACACACCTGTAACCAGACACAACCGGCTATTTCTCTTTTTATTGAGTGACATGAAGATAATTACAAAAAAAGTGAACTCTCCCGTTCGATAAAAAGAAAGTATGATGTAAAAAATGGAAATACGGAAAAAGCAATAAAGTCGTGAACGCTGTAAACACGACGCGCTGTGTGAATAACTTGCTGTTTTTAATATAAATCGGGGAATTTGCTGCATTTGATTGGAAATAAACAGCACATTAATGTCAGAGCCGGCGCCCACAGAGCCACGGAGAAGCCTCGGCCTTTTTCGGTGAATGTGTGTTTTTTTTTTTTTTTGCAGTTTTAAAAGAAACAAAATTCAAAGTGCACGGAAAGCCTATGAATAATTGCAGCAGGTGTCACATGAGATTAGCTGCTCCAGTTGGCCTCTCAGGGAACATCCACTGTGACAGGTGTGCTCCCAGCATCAAAGGCCCACCGAGAGATTTGGCAACGGAGACGTCAGCCGGCGAGCCGGGCCGAGGAGGAATCGCCGGCCTATTGTTGCTCTTTGAGCTCTCAGGGAACCGGACTTCAATCATAGCCGAGGAAGACGTTCTTACGAGGCTCAGCTGAGACAAACTGGTGTCCCGGCGAATCCTGAAAGACGCCTGACGCAACAAAGTTTAAGACAGGACGGCGCTGTCCATAATAGATCAAGGTGCCGGGTACGGGAGTTCGGAACACAAGTATGCAATTTTGTGCAATCGCGAGCAAGATTGTAAGAATCCTGTCCTTTTGTTATGTAGACAAGCGGCGCGGACTTTAATCTAGACGCGTTGTGACGTTACATCCACATTAAAGCGCCTCAACGTGGCGGCGGAGAATCGAGTTCGGCTGCACTCGTCTGGGTTCGACTCGCAGGAAAGGTGCAGGACTCGGTGGGAAAACATCGAGCTCGAAAGCGTTTTTGCAACGAACGTTAAATATTCAGGCATCAGTGGTTAAAGGTGCACGTGGCGTAAAAGGGTTGAAAGTTTGAATCCCGCAAGCGTCAAGCAGGTTAAAAGCTCATTAAACAAAAGTAAAAGAGCAACTTATCAGTTTAAAAAAGGTAGAATCACTTCTGATAAGAGATTCCAAACATTTTTTATTCACCTGTAATCGACTTTAGTAGATTCTAGGTGCGGATTAAGTCGTGTTTAATCACAAAAATGTACCTTTAGTCACAAAATCACGAACCAATCAGCCGCAGGAACACAGTCTTCATGGATTAGTCTCGTTTACGTGAGCTCTAGTCCAAGACTTAAAGATTAGCGTGTTTGAAAACCAGGATCATGCGATCGCCCAACATCACACACAAGCTGACCGGCGTCAGTGAAGTTCTTGTCTTTAATATTTTTGGCATAAATCAACAACATAATTCATCACATTTTGCACCTTTATCCTTTGTTTCTGACATAATGAAATGCTTGACTGTCACCTTTTGCTCTTTGCTCTGATTACAAACACAAATTTAAACATTTACTTGTTGATCGGTATCCATTCAGTAAAATATTCGTCCATATTTTTAATCCGAGACACTTGACATTCACCGTAAACTTGAAGTTTTAATTACTACAGGTCATCTTTAAATCACGAGTATTAGCCAGACGTCATTAAACGAGACTTTGTCGTGGTGCTTGTTGCTGGATTAACTCCCACTACGTGTAAACAGTAAGAGGCTCCACCTGGTGGCGCAACCAGGTACTGCAGCTAATTTACTGTACATTTCCAGACATGCATATACTTTATCTTCTGTCTTACTGGCTACTAGATTATTTATTAACAACCTTTATCCCTGCACACGTATATAAACTGTGTATTTTTACTTCACACGTGTCGGCCCTGAGCATCCAGCATCGACGGGCTCCGGCAGCGCAGCGGTGTGAATCCTGCAGCGAGGACCGCGATGTTCTCGCACCGTCGCTCTCCCAGCTCGTACCATAAACAAGCCGGCCGTTCCGCGTCGCCCGCAAATGCTAAATATTTACATCATCGCTCGCTGTTAAGACAAACAGCCTGATTCACTCGAGTCACTGAATTATGCATTTCGTCTGCACAGGGAAGCGTTCATGGTGGCTTTAATGCAGCGTTAACTACCTTTAAAATAGTGCCAAGTGCTCATATAGCAAGAAAAAAAAATCATGTCTGATCAATTGAGAAATAAAAAAAAGTAGTTTACCTTTTGACTCCGTAGGCCATGTTCAGCAGATTGTCCAACCTTCGGAAACAAACAAAACAGAAACACCAGCACACGCGCATTAATTTCAACTCAAGTAAACCTTTCCCAGGAGGCTGATGCATTTTGACAGGATGACAGAGATGAGTAATCGCGGCGATACCGTGACTAAAGTCGGCTGTTCCACTCAAGCGAACGCCGAGACCATTATGTCCTTATTAACCTGCCGACCGAGCTCCAGCATCCAGCACAGCTCAGCCGGGAGGAGACGCTCGGCCCGCACAGAAAAAGGGTCGTTTATGCGGGATTTTCGCTTTGTCGCTAATTCAGATGAGGTCTTTACTTTGGATTGATGTGCACTTTTTTACTGTCAAACTACTCATCTCGCTCTCATGTTTGTCAAAATGTGCTCAAGCCCGATGGCGTCGTCGGCCTACGTCTGCAAAGTTACTGTGAGTATGGAGGGGATGAATTATTCTGTCCAGAGTATCGACGAGCTCCAACACAGAATATTTTCCACAACACCGCTGTGAGACAATTTAAATGCTAATTCCACCCCCCAAAAAAATGTCATAAAGCAAAGCCTCAGAGGGTCAACAGAATCCACTTCACTAGCAGCATTAACTCGGCTCAGACTTTTTTTTTTTTTTTGGCGTGCCCCTTTTACCTGAAGCGCTGTGCCTGCTGTGCGAGGGGTCCTGGGTACCTTCGATTGGGAGACTGATACAGCTGGGACAGCAGCGCCTGGCTGGTCTTCTGGCTCGGGTTGTTGGCGAACTTCACCGTGATGGGTTCGGTGGCGCCGGGCGGCTTCTGACAGTTCAGGCCCTTGATGGCCTCCTCGGCCTCGACTCGCCGGTCGAAGCGGATGAAGCCGACTCCTCTGGAAACGCCTGCCGGGAGGACATGAAACTAGTTACGCGTCGAGCTTCCCCTGACGGCGTTATCGTCCCGACGGATTAGCGTGTCATTCTCTCGATTAACTAACCAATAATTAATAAATCAACTGTACAACTTCAGGTTTAAGTCACCTCCTTTCGTCTGTAGCTACTCTGAGACTGCAAAGACTGAACAGGAAACTCAAACCAGGAAGCTAGCTACTCAAACGGTGGCTGACGGCTAGCGGCTAAGCTAAACAGCAGCCACAGATTACGCTAGAACAGAGTCTGGACAACAAAAAAGTGGACCTTCATGGGCAACAATGAAAGTAACAGAGCAGTGGAAGATGAAGACAACAGAGGAAAAACAGCAGATAGAATCAAACAAATCTCAGATGATAAGTCCTAATGTAATCCGATTTATCGTTTACATATTCCTGCTGTCACATGCTGCTAAAACTTTAAAATTGTTTAAACATTGATTCCACAAATCAGTTTCAGACCTTTCTTGATTACAAATAATCAGCATCTGCACAACAACACCCCAAATATCAGTTGATTTCTGACAGGACGATCAAAAACTTGATTCGTCCACATTTTTCCCAACACATGACACCGTATGCGAGGATGCAACACCATTTAGACATTTATTCGTGCAACACAGCAAAGTTTTCAACACCAAATCTGACCACAAACACTTCAAATAAGTCATTTTCACACGTTAAAGTCTTGACATTGAGTCTGAAACAGTCCAGAAGCAGAATCACAAAACATCAGGAGCAGAGACATGGAACAAGCAGATCAGTGTTACGATGCAAAGCTTTCCCATCACCGTTCGTCGGCAGGCAGCAGGGAGAAGGAAGAGCGGAGATCGTCCCCGACAGGTGGAACAATTCGTAGCTTTATAGCAACTTTGACTGCTAGCTTTTACAGCCAGTAAGCTAATGCTAGTGCAGCTAGCTGTTGTATTGAACAACACCTCCCTTCCACTCGTATTTAAACATCACTCCTGCGGCTTTATCCACCTCTCGCTGCCCTCTCGGGACGATCCGTGCAAGTCATTTCTGTCTTGGTCCCGTTCCTTCCTGCTGCCTGCCAATGAGCCTTGAGCTTCAGTGTCTTTGCCAAGTCAGAAAAGTGGTCCAGCCTCCCATGTCGCCTCAACTCCTTCGCTGCACATTTTGACATTTGCTTTTCCCTCGCAATGCGCCCCCCTGCACACTTTAATTCTCGAGTAAGACGGAGCAGATCCTGGCTTTGGGTTTTTCCTACCTACAGACTTGATTACAGACTGCTCCATTAACCTAAACAACGGGAATTCTCCGCACGCGAGTTAAAAAAGACTGCCGGTTGGAATGCTATACGGGCAGAACCGCTGGGAAACGTCTGGGTGAAAGATTCTGTTTATTAGTGTTCTGCCTCCACGTAGCAGCCGAGAGTCTAACTGCTGTAAACGCATTTCATTTCTTGCCATAAAACAGGCATGTATACCTCTGGGATGGAGGGGAAATAGCAGGAGACTGTAAGGCAGATTGGAGGGGGGTGGAAAAGGAAATCATAAAAGAAACTTTACACCCATTTTCATATTCCATCGATGCATATTTATGAACACCTCGAGTGGAAAATTGTGTTTTTTTGGGAGCCTCGCGCCGCCTCCTCTGATGTATGTCTCAGGCCCGGCTGTGTCGTTTTTTTTTTTTGTTCGGGGATGAAAACAGGAAGAGAAAGGAGGAGGGAGGACTCACCGGTCACCTGGTCCACCAGGATGCGTGAGGTAATGATGCGTCCATACTGAGAGAAGAGCTGCTCCAGTTCCTTCTGAGTCATGGTTTTTGGCAAGCCGCTGACGTACAAATTTGCATCTCTGATGGAGGCGGAGCTTGGACGCGCGTAGGAAACCTGTGGAGACATCAGAGGAGGGTTTTTTTAAAATCGCATGACATCACCTTTTGCTGCTAAAGGTTTGCTAACACAAGGATGCTGTGACCCAAATATAGCCCAGGATGAAAACACCAACTCGTATGCAAGTGGACTCGAAGCAGAACAGAAATTATGACGCCGTTATTTACAGACAGGATTGTTTATTGTGCTTTTCAGATTCTTGTGACCATGTTTGGACTAAATATTTATGCTTATCTGCTTATTTTTGTACTTAGTTTTAATACCATTTATGCTAAACAACACCAACATTTGCACCTTTATCGTAAATACCAACCAGTTTTGTATCGTATCTCTTCAACCATTTGCTTGTTAATTTGTGCATCATGTGTCTGTTTTATATCCGTTTGTTGACTTTGTGCGGCTGCTACCTCGGCCAGGTCTCTCTTGGAAAAGAGATTTCTGATCTCAATGGGACTTCCTGATTAAATAAAGGTAAATAAATAGTTGTGTTATTTTGCACTTTGATTTCTGACTAAAAGCAGCACATATTTATGTTTATATGATTATTTTTGTACTTACTTTTAATACTCTGTTGTAAACAACAATTCTTGCACCTTATCGCTTCAAACAGCACAATTTGCATTTTAATTGCATGTTATTTGCACATTAATTTCCTTGTTTTTCTCAAACGTTCCTTTTAAAAGTCTTGTGACTATGTTCGGACTAAATGCAGCAAATATTTATGCTTACATGTTTATTATTTCTATTTTTGAACTGTACATATACTTGTTCATCCTTCATTTTATTGTGAACACCAGTCATTTTGCACCTTTACTGTAAATACCAACTATTTTTGCACCTTATTGCTTCAACCAGCACGATTTGCATGTTCTCTTGTCTCTTGTTGTTAATTTTCTTAAATGTAACGTTCCTTTTATGACTAAGTTTGGACTAAATGGATCAAATATTTAGGTGTAAACGCTAATTTTTGTACTTACTTTCAATACTCTTTATTGTAAACAACACCAATATTTGCATCTTATTGCTTCAACCAGTACGATTTATATGTTAACTAGATGTTAATTTGTCCATCAGTTTCCGTATTTTTCTTAAACATAATTTTTAATTCCTATGACTATTTTCAGACTAAATGCAGCAAATATTTATATTTATATGTCTATTATTTAGAATATAGCACTGTACCTACACTTTTTCAATCCTCCTTTTTATTGCAAACACCAACAATTTTGCACATTTATTGTAAAAACCAACAATATTTGCACCTTATTTCTTCAACCAGCACAATTTGCATGTTAACTACATGTTAATTTGTTGATTAATTTCCTTATTTTTCTCAAATGTAACGTGCATTTCAAAGTCCTATGACTATCTCCAGACTAAAAGTTAAATCTTTCTATTTTGGCACTGCACTTACACTTTTAAATCCGTGTTTTTTATTGTAAATACCTGCAAATTTGGCACCTTTACTGTAAATACCAACAATTTCTGCACCTTATTGCTTCAACCAGCACGATTTGCATGTTATTTTGTACATTAATTTCCTTGTTTTTCTCAAATGTGCATTTCAAATTCTTATGACTGTGCTTGGACAAAATGCAACAAATATTTATGTTTACATGCTTTTTATTTCTATTTTCACACTGCACCTACACCTTTTATTGTAAAAACCAACACTTTCTGCACCTTCTTACTTCAACCAGCACAATTTGCACATTAATTTTATGTTCTTTTGTACATTAATTTCCGTAGTCTTCTCAAATTTAACACGTGTGAATAAATTCAAACTTTAAATTTCCCAAAGGGGACACATAAAACATCCATCTATTGTCATAAACTTGTGCTTTTGTCGCAGCAACGTAAAGATTCACGCAAACATCTGCACAGATTTGCAACGACACAAAGCAAAACCCGTCCAGCAAACTTTAAAAAGCACCAACTTGAGCAAAACGTCTTGTTTTTCCCAAAGCTGTGGGACTTCATTATGTGCAGATAAGAGACAGAGAGAGAAGAAGAAGGAAAAAAACAAAGGCGAGGTTCTGGAGAAAACGAGCTAATGGAGTTCCTGGTAAGAATTAAGATTAGTGGAGTCGTGGCCGACGCACACAGACACAGTCTGCTACTGCAAACATCTCTGCAAGTCACTGGTGGCTGTTTGCTGCTCATCAACACAGACTGCGAAGCGACGCCACAGCTGCTGCATCTGCTCAGAGCAAGAAACCAAAATGTGCTTCCGCTTTCACCTTCAGGGGGAAACCGCACTCGTCTGTCAAGAGGCTGACAGGTTTGCTTTTTGTTGGGATGAGAAAATGGCGACAAAACAAAAAACCCAAAAACCTAAACCTCTACTTTACCAGATTGCTGTTCCTTGGCTCGTATTGTCGCCACATTTTTCTCTCTCGGTGCAAACTTAAGAACAAAAACTATTCTTCTGACAAAACCAGCAGCAGAATCCGGCCCGTCTAGATCGTTATGAGTTAAAAACGAACCCAACGACACATCCTGAAAAACACCAGGCGGCCTCTTAAAACTCACTCAGCGTCCTCAAACGTGCAGCACGAATAACCGTCCATCCATAAACACGGACCAGTAATAGAAAACAGACCAAAAGAATCATCCAGCAGGTCGGATCAATACATCATTACACCCCTGAGCAGTCAGATTCATTTTTCCTCGACGTCCGTTTTCAGTCACGCCGACGTTTATCCGATAAGACGCCGCCTAAACTCTGACCATCAGCCGCCTGAACGCCACCACAGCCGTTTTGGATGAGTGTCGGAGTTGTTTAAAAGGTCCTTCACTGGATGGAAACACTCTTTAATCTTCCAAAAATAGGTTTAAATCACAGCTTTCTCTGGAGCTTTTACCTGCACAGAGGATTTTTGGCACTGAAACAAACTATAAATACAACATCTTTGGCATCCAACAGTTGACTCAACTCTTGTCTACGTTTACACAAGATGCTAAAAAACTAGCTCAAACCGAGTCTGAATCTATCTACTGTAGAGCTGGGCGTCTTTACCGGACGTATTTATTGTCAGTTTTGCCGTCTACAGTCAGGCTGAGCAGCTCTCTGGGCTGTTTAGCTGCATTAGCGGCTAGCATGGTAGCGAGTGAAGCTTTATAGCAAACAATCTGAGGATTAGATAACTAATCTTGGGGAGTTTTCTGACAAAAACTGGTAAAAAGCTGCTAAATCTTCCTGTAAAATCCAACTCATGAGTGCATCTTATTTTGTACCGCCGCTCACTCTCTCCTCAAGTCATATTTAGCTCGTTTTGAATTCATAAATGTGAGCAACGAGTGCCTCAACTCTGTAATAAAACCGTTTTTTATCAGTTTTGTCAGCTGAGGGTTCATTTACTCAAATGTTTTTGCTCATCAAATTGGAGGAAAACTCATGGTATTCTGTCGAATAGCTCACGCCGACTTCTGTGCGACACTTGTACTTCCACATTCGGAGGAATTTGGGTTATCTTCCATTTTTCTACAGATACTTCCTAAATGTTTACACTGCCCCACAGTAGGATGAATAAAACCTTATTGTATTGCGCTGTCACACTTTATTTGAAGCGTACATGTGCAACGTACACGCTGAAGGTGTTTCTATCCACCATGTTCTAATTTCAGAGGCTCCTCCACCTGCACAACATTTAGACGTCAAAACAAAATAATCAGGTGTACAGCTTACAAATTCGCCACCATTCAGACATGACTCTTGTATTTTTTTTTGCCTGCAGACATTTTCTCCCCAACACCCTGACAGGAGAAGGCTCGCTCCTCGCAAGGAAAATAAAAAATCGCATCTCATAATCTGGCTCCACCGTCCGTCCACAAATCCTTCAGCACTATATGAAGCAAATGAGTTTCTCCAGCAGCAGCACATCGAGTGCTACACCGCCTGATGAATGCTAATGGCAGCCACCTCCCTGTAAAGGCATACGGCAGCGCTACAGCACATCATGCAACCATAGAAACAGTTCTGCTCTACTTGAGGCCCGAGCAAAGCCGCCTGTGCCCAGATTAACAATAGGCTCCCTTTCCGCCCCACGCTGCTCCAACCTCATTATACTCCAACCTCGACAGCTCAGGCACAGGTTGGATCTGTTCTCTTTTTTTTTTTTTTTTGAGTTACGAGCGGATCTTACCTTGATGGTTTTGGTCTGAAGTCTCAAGCCGTTTAGGGTGTTGATAGCTTTCTCTGCGTCCTTCGGGTCCACGTAATTCACAAATCCGTAGCCTAGGCTCTGCCCTGCAATCACACAAACACAAAAAACCCAACAGTTATCATCATCATCATCAGCCGAAAATGTGACGATTTAATACTGACAGCCTTTTATGAATGCACACAGATTAGCAGCCTTTTATTTCTTATCCGGCGGAGCACGCAGGTCACGAGTCAATTTTCAGCAAACATCCATTCGTCGGCGTACGGTTAATAAAAAAAAAAAAAACCTCAAACCAGCTCTTTGACAAACATGTTTTAAATTAAAAACGACAAGCGATCGCTCTGCTTTCACACCGACTCGTCTGTGACACAGTGAAGTAGCCGAGGCTCGGCGCGTTGCCTCCCTCCTCCTCCTCCCCTCCGCAGTTTATCTCTAAAATGTACAATAGATTGACACCCACTCTTTATGTGCACAGAGGCAATTCAATTTCCTCCACCCACACTGCCGGGTTTCTCCGCAATTCCACTGCCGGTCAAGTTCACCGGCAGCTCAAGCAGCTGCAGCATATTAAACACAGCTTTGCACGCGCAGAGGCGACGTGCGGTTTTTATTTGAAAAGTTTATTTAAGATTAGATGAAGTAACCTTTAGTCTGCGGCGGCTGTGATTAACCCGCGTTTTGTTTTTTTTTATTGTTGTTGTTTGTTTCATCACTTCATCAGCGTTGTTTATCTGCTGCTTCGTTCTTCAGATTGGGAAAAAATGGCATTTAACTGGACACAAGAGTTAAAAAAAGAGTCGCAAACATATGGGAACGAGGTTTAGTCCTGGAAATTAATAACGATCGCAAAACTCTGCGTGAGACTTCCTCCGCTTGGGACGCGATCCAACAAAACGACTGTCAGAGCGATCTATTTGTGTCTTTGCTCTCCCGCAATGCGCAAGCTCCGTCCACAGCACGTCTCTTGGCAGCGCACCAGTTGCTGTTCGCAGGCGGCGGCGCGCTAGCGGGGTTAGCCTGCGGAGCCGGGCAGACGCTGCGATTTGCTGCACGACACGTCGACTCGCACCAAAAATGTCCAGGTTTTTGATTCACGCGCGCACGTCGAGGAAATGCCAAACATTTGTGCTGCTTTTAGGTGTTTTAATGACCCCCCAAAGAAAGTCAAACAATAAATCAACACCAGGAGTCACATGTAGCTGCTCTACACGTGTTGAATTGCGACTCCACCGAGTCAAACCGACCCCCCGGCACGCTTTCTACCTCATCTCTGTAAGTAGTGCGACTCCGATGTCAAAATAATGAAAATATTTGATTAAAAACGTAATTAAAAAATAAAACAATCGCCTCCGTTTCTGCACTCCGGCTGTAATTATGTCTTTTTAATTAATCAATCACACGATAGAAGTCGGAAATTAATTAAAACAGGTAGCGCGCGCATCTTGAAAATCTAAAAATACTACGTTGTGGCTGGTATATCACATAGGGTGCTGCTGTTAAATAATAAGTGCGTTTATCAGTGACGCCGTTAAAGCTCCTTTTTTCTCGCCAGATGGGCGGAAACGCAGCGTTAATTTGTACAGTTCTCGAGCTGAAATTGCACTGATTGATCACTCGTCTTAATAATTATTTTATTAAAAAAACGGCTTCACGTTGATGCATTTCTGTCGTTTCTCTTCTGTACGAAAGTGCAGAAGCGTGACGCCGACACATGGCGCGCACAGACGCCTGCGTTCTGCTTCACTCTGTACATACACGTATAGCGGAAGATGAAACACAAAGAGACGCTCGCAGCGCTGCTATTAAGTTATCTGTTCTGTGCAGCCCAACTCCCCGTATGCATCCATACCGGCTTCATCCGTCTCACATGAGTCACCGCGCCGTGATCAAGCGAAGTTCATAAACTTAATTTCACCTCGCGTGTCAGGCAGAACCTTTTGAAACAAAGCCGGCGGAGTGACACTTTCGCTTAAGCCTGGAGGGCAGAAACGACCGCCGCACACGCTAAGCCTTCCTTCCTTCCTACGGAGCATCCGCCCCAAACGCTCGCCGCCATCGGAGCTCCAGCTGCTCGCCAGCGCTGCCCATAGTGGGAGGAAGAAAAAAGCGACACAAAGACTAAGCTGTTTCTGCTGCAGCCAAAGCGTCGAACGTTTAAAGCAAAGAGGAAGCGTGCATCTCTCTGGTGATTACTTAACATCTGATGTAGCACCAGCACACAGATGTAGGCTGGCTTAAATCCATCGCCACAGGGCCGAGGGAGAGACAAAAGCAACACAGTCTGGAGGGGATAGGGGTTCTTTTTTTTAATGTGGAGCTGAAATCAGAGCAGCATTCCCGAGAAATGACTTGAAGGCTTTGAATAACATTAAGGGGGCCTAATTTTTCCCACCCCAATTCAAGACTAGCTTCAAAAACCCTACTTTGACTTCTAAACGTACGACAGCACGCTGCTGAGAGGCGCCGAGCTGACCACGGATCCATTATTAATCTGCAGCTTGCGACGGCTCGGAAATTCCCGCGACGGCAGAACCTCGATCGATGCCCCTCCGCCGAGCTGGGATCGGTTCGAGCCGGGGCCTGTTTGTACACGTTTTTTTCTTTCTTTTCTTTTTCGCGTTTACCTAAATAGAAACGCGCCTTCCTTCGAGTGTCCTCTTTGACAAGTATGTTCTGCCAGCTGGAGAGCTAACAGACTCACCCTTTCCAGCTGGCCGCGTTTGTATTCCTTCGACAGAAATAAAAAATAATTACTGAAAATCAAATAGCCGTTGACGCCGAGAGCTTCTGGAGTTTGCCGCGGCAGACCTCATCGAGACACTTTGTTTCGCTAAAGATGCTGCCGCAACTGTCGCCCCTAATCCGATTCAGCGCGAAAGGCTTCGAAGCAAAGCGGATCTTTATCTATTTTGAGCTATAAATTAACAAGATGCAACTTTTTTCCCGAAGCTAATAGCTAGTCGCTTTGAAATCAGCATCTCAAACGTGGTAGCTTCTGTAAAGCTAGCAGCTAGCATCAACATGACAACCTGTAGCACGAAGCTGGGTGTAAACCGAACACGAGTCCAATAAAAATCTGGTTCCACAGCCCCAGAAAGTCGACGAAGCGAGCTCAAGACGCACCAAAAGATGTGTTTTAACGTCACGCCGTCGGGGTCAGAAACCAGCTGCTGGTTCAGTCCAACTAAGAGACTCAGAAACGCTCAACATATACGTGACATTTACGCTTCTATAGCCCTGAAAAACAACTTAGCAGCAACTTGGATTTACATTCAAGGACGTTCACGAGGTCGAGCGCTCCTCTTTTCTGCTCTAAACTTCACATCGGCCGTCGCTATAGAGCCGCGCAGTCGTGAGATCTTGTTCGTCAATTACTGCTTTTCTTTATTTTGCTCACAGGTCAGCCCGGAGATCAAAGCTGATTTCCAAGTCTGTAAATCTGAGTCATCGGAGGCCTTAAGTGTTTTCTCGCTCAAACCACACACACACACAAAAAAAAGAGAGGCTCAGATGTATGATTTGCTGAATCAAAAGAGGCGAAGGGGAGTGTCGCTTTTAGGACCTCGAGAGCGTTTCAGAACAACTCGTCCAATCCCCCCCCCTCTACTCCGAGTGCCACGTTCACACTTGCTCGGCTAAATATGGAACCCATCGAGTCTTGTTGAGGCTCGATTTCCAAAACGCTTCACACGCTAACAATCACATGTCACACGCGTGGCTGCACACTGTGAACAAATTCAGCGGTTTGCTTCCAGAGAAAGCACGAAACATCTCAAGTCGTGTACCTACAATTATTGAAATATCTTCTAGAGAAAGCCTGGAGCCAACTGTACTTGTAAAAACAAGACAGGACACACACACACTTTTAAAGCTTTTTTTTTTTTGGTAACTAGACCAGCGGATAACTGGTCAGCCGCGCCGTGAAATATTTAACGTTATGAATATTTCAGCGCCAGATGTGGCCGCTCGGCGCGCATGTTAATTTAATGAAGCGCCTCGGAGTCGCGGAATAAAGATAATCTATAAAGTAAAAGCAGCGTCCGCCGGCTTGATCGCAGCAGAAGGACCTGCTCGAGCACCGGACTGTTATGGGAAAGCTGACGGAGGAAGGTCTGGGTAACCTTGACCAAAAAAAAAAACAGCAAGTAGTGAAACTGCAGCAGCCTCGGCCATTATCTACCTGCTCATGTCAGCGACCATGTCAGAGTGCTCCTCTGCCAGCTGCAGTCCTCCCATTAAAAAAAATAAAATAAAATCATTTGCAAGTCCTCTGCCTACCCAGATGTAAAGAAGCGAGCGTCCCCAGTTGGTTTTTTGAAAATGCCATTTCCCTATTACATAAAAACCCACATATATATATGTATATGCACACATATAGAGCAATTAATAGCGGTGGCTGCACCGAGGCTGCTCCGGCTATCCTCCGTAATGAGATGTAGAAAGATTGGATGGCTTTCAAAATGACTGCCTCTGCATTTATTGAGGCTAAAAGGTCCTTCATTGGATTTTCAAGAGAAGAAATCACACAGCAGCAGCAGCAGCAGCAGCAGAGAAGCTCGTGGACAATGGTGCTGCAAAGGCCCCGGCACTCGCATCCTGTGTACATTATTAACATTTAAACGCCAGCATCAGCCGATTAAATTAGTTTATTTTTTACCTGTTATTTTGTCTCGAACTAGTTTACAGGACTCGATCTCCCCGATGCTCCCGAACAAGCTCTTGAGCTCCTCCTGGGTCATGTTCTGAGGCAGATAGTTGACTATCAAGTTAGTTTTACTGTCCTCTATGCTCCCCGACTCTACGGGCGAGGAGCAGTTGTTTGAGATTGTGGAGGGGCCGTTGCTCGTGTTGTTGCACGTCGGCCCGTTGGACAGCTGTGTTTCCATGGCAGCAATTACCTGCTAAAGAGACAAGAGGGGGAAGAAAAAAAAAAAAAAAGGAGAAAAATCAAAGTCAAAACCACATGCAAATCAGAAGAAAATATAAAAACCCAACAGAAACAGTTAAGAAAGGACGCTCTTCACACATTGGAACTGGTGTTTTATTTGTTTTGCAGCCGAACAAAACATCAGACAAGCAAGCAGGGGAAAAAAAACTGCTTCTTAAAACTCGCTAGAAGCCGAAATTCGTCCGCAAAGTGCAATTTTTTTGGCCGAATGTCAAGCGCTAGGTTAGCAAAAAGTTGGAAAAGCAACGAAAAAGACGCGCGTGACGAGCTGTTAACCTGTCAGAGGCTCAACAACTGATAAAGATGATAAGACGCGGCGTGTTTAGACGCATTGGCGAGCAGCACCGAACCCGCAGCCAGCTAGCGTCGGACAACGGGCGGCCAGCAAATAATCGGGTTAATGCATGAAGAGTCATCCTTGATTAACAGATTCACCACGTTGTTCTTAGGAAATAAATCACATGAGAGCAGACAGAGGCAGACAGGTTTAGACCATACCAATACAGTCAGACGTTAACACCTTTTCATAACACAACACCCAAAAAGAAAAGTGCCCGGATTCCCCAATTTGACAAGATTGGAATTGGACGTCGAGCTAGCGTCATTGGTATGGCCTGAGACAACAATCAGTAATTTATTTCGTTTTTTTAAAAAGCAAAAAAAGTGCCACAGACCCCAGTCCAAGGCTCAGGCGCCCACGAACCACTTCTAAGCAGAGAAGCCACATCGCACAGTCTGACTGCCATGTTAGTTTGGAGTTGCCGTCTGAAAATGTGGACACACACAAGAAGAAAAAAAAAAAAAGTACTTCATGTTAGATCAACAAGAACAAAACCAAAAACAGTCAGAGATGATCACATGTCATTGTAGGTGGGAAGATGAGGGGGAGGGGAAGGGAGACAAGGAGGCTACATGTGTTGTTTTAAACGGGTGGAAATGTTTCACACAGTTCAGCAAAAAGAGACGAAACCAGGCCGCAACCACGAAGAAACCCCAAAGCTCAAACCTCCTCACGTCCAGCTCATGCTTCAGGATGCTTTGGAAAACCAATGGTGGATGCAAAACCGCCAACAAACACCACCGCAAAACCAGTAAACAACATTTGTGAGAACATTACGAGCTCCGAGCTAACCATCAAAGTGATTGATCAAACCTGTCGATTAAACATCTGGGTTTACAGAAAACGTACTTAAAAAGGATTCTAGTGTTTTAAAAAGTAGATTTTACAGCAGCCATGCCTGCTTTACCGCCTCTGCTAGCTAATTTTCCAGCAAAAACACAAAGCTGCATTCAGCTCAACATCTGCATCACGCGTTTGTAAAGTTAAACCCAGTTTTTCCCCCAAACAGTTTCGACCAAGTTCTGCACGGACGACTGATAATTTAGTCGCCCCGTTTGTCGATTCCTTTCAGTGAAAATGTCAACCTGCCATAACTAAAACGCCGATTGATTTTCTCCACTCGAGCAGCGAAAACAGCATCGCAGCTGTCAGATGGGCAGGTGGAAACCCGATCAATCCGATCAATACTTCTTACAGGAGAGCATCTTTAAAAAAAGTCGATGTGCATGTTTTCACCCTAGAGAGAGGGGTGTACACATTGGAGCATAACATTATAATTTTCGTACTATTTCACAAATCCTGGTGAAGATATGAACTCCGACGCCATTTTGATTGTGCAAAACACACATTTACGTGCTCTTATATACAAATAAATACACATCAATTAGCATGAATACTGCAGCTTTTATGCATTGCTTCTGTTATTTTATGGATTTTTAAACCAACAACAACTTAAATCTTGAGTTAATTTTCTTTTCCCCCATGCCCTGCTTTGAGAAGATCTCCCACAACAATTTGCATTTCAATGAAATAATTCAACTTTAAAGTGTAAAAAAATTAAAAGTGAACATTAACAGACCAGCTAGTTTTACCAATATGCATTAAAATATGCCTCTAATGCTTAAAACTGTTGGTACAGTGCAGTCATTAGACATAAAGATGCAAACAAACTGGGCTTTTTGGAGGAAAATGGCTGAATTTAGGTTGGATTTTTGCTCCTTTTAATGAAGTAACTTGACTTTAAAGTGTAAAAATGTAAAGCAAACAGTAAGAGACCAGCTAGTTTTACATTATGCACCATTTAAATGCATTAAGATGCATCAAAATATTCCTCTAATACTTAAAACTGTAGGTACACTGGAGTTGTTAGACAAAGATGCAAACAGACGGGGATTTTTGGAGGAAAATGGTTGAATTTGGTTTGGATTTTGGCTCATTTTAATGAAATGATGACTTAAAAGTGTAAAAAATTAAAAGTGAACGGTATCAGACCAGCTAGTTTTACATTATGCAGCATTTTATCGTATTTATATGCATCAAATTATGCTTCTAATGCTTAAAACTGTATGTACAGTGGAGTTATTAGACATAAAGATGCAAACAAACTGGGCTTTTGGAGGATTTTGGCTCATTTTAATGAAGTAACTTGACTTAAAAGTGGAAAAAATTAAAAGTGAACAGTGTCAGATCAGCTAGTTTTACATTATGCAGCATTATATCGTATCAATATGCATTAAAATATTCCTTTAATGCTTAAAGCTGTGGTTACAGTGCAGTTATCAGACGTCAAGATCCAAACAAACTGAGCTTATTAAGGATAATGGTTGAATTAGGTTTGGATTTTGGAGGATTTTTGCTCCGTTAGAACCCAAACTACAGAGAAGCGGCTGCCCAGATGAACAACAGAGGTCAGTAATTGATTGTAGAGGCTGTTTTACAGTTCACGCATGGGTCTCCACACACACTAAATCTAACGCTTTGAGAAACATTAACCACCCTCCTCAAGGGAACCCAGTTTAAGTGTACCCAAAAAAAGTCTCTAATTCTGTCACTGGGGACTTTTTTTATTTTTTATTTTTTGGAGGAGAAAAAAAACCAACCCTGAATCCAGCAAGAACACCACTAAATCACAAACTGCTGATGCTGATACGAGGCACAAACAGCTCGGTGTCAGTCAGATCAAAACAGCTGGAAGAACTCTCCATTAGAAAACAATCACGACCTCGGCTTGTCCAACTGTGAAAAACTGGAGGTGTGCTGTGACTGATCGGGGCTCGACTAAACATCACAACGTTAACATTAACGGCGCTCGTTCATCTGTGGAGATGTGGAGCTCTCGTCCTGCAGAATTAAGCTCGAACGTGGTGGAAATGTGGGTTTACGTTCAGGCCGTCGTGACATCGAGGCAGAAGATTTATCCGTTATTGGTCTTCAAACGTGGTGGTTGAGTCAGCTGTAGATTTAAACGAGTTCATCCTGGAGTTTCTGGATGTTTGTGTGGCTACGGACTGATGTTCTTAAATGTTTTGACTTGGAAGCTGTTTTAAGAGGCCGTGAGCTTCATGTGCATCCGTTTTTATTTCAGACATTTTAAGGAATTTTTAAAAAAAAACGATTTAAGTGGCGTACCCACCTAGAATACTACTTTTGTCAACAGTTTGTGTTATCAGTTAGAGCAGTGGTTCTCAAACTGGGGGTCGGGACCCTCACAAGGGTCCCGAGATAATTTCAGGGGGTCGCCAGACGATTGTAAAACAAAAAAATAAATAAAAATAAAGCCTACATTTGTCAAATAAATGTGTATTAGGGCTGTCAAAATTAAAAGCGTACACTTGTTCCCACTCCTTTTTGACAATATTATGATTTGATTATGCAATGTTATTGTTCTTTTTTGCTCTTTTTAAAATTACTTTTTGTTTTTATATTTTTTTCACCCTCTTTCATTTGTTTGAAATAAATTCAATTCATTCAAAAGAAGATTAACAATGTAAAGAGAGTAATCTGTGGCGTTAACACATTCATTTTTAACGCAATAATAAAGTTTTTACTCGTGATAGATTCAAAATTCAAACACAAACACAAACTTGTGTTATCTTGGGGGTCGTAGCTCAGAAAGTTTAACTTCTCCAGGTGCAATATTTCAGTTTAAAGTGTGACACTACGTCTGTTTACTGCAGCATTACTCTAAACTTTTATATTCTAGTCTTATTTAGCTTTAATTTTCTGTAATTATTGCACTTCTTGCTTCTGCCGTCACTTTGTTTTCATCTCGTTTCTTCCGTGACTGCACAACATTTTAGTTTACTTCGCTAATTTACGACATAAACCCATTCCTTACTGTAATTTATTTTCATTTTTTCCCTCTCCCAGGCGTCTGAATGCGCTCCAAACACAAACTGCAGAAGCCAACCTCGCGCTGCACAAGTGAAAAAAATACGTGAGTCATCCCGATTCGCCGGCACGTCCCTAAACCAAGGTCAAACCCACCGACTACATAACCCGAGCAAAAAATAGAAAACACGGCCCGTACAGCAAACAGCTTCTTTGCCCACATGACCCATTACCACAGATACACTTTACTCGCTGGAAGAAGAAGAAAAAAAACAAAACCCTCGGCGGAGCGAAAGTGACGTGAAGGAACGACAGGAGGACGGGCAGAATCTTTTCCCAGCAGCAAAACCCCTCGTCTTTACATTCAGGAATAACAGAAACGGGATTCTTGACCCTGCAGACGCCCCTCTAAACACAAACATCCGTGTAGTTTTCACCTTTTCAAATACTCAAAACGAGCTGCCAACATCCTCCTGACGCATGCGAGCAATTAGCAGCTTTAGCTGTGGCGTGCTCGGTCTGCTTCCTGTTAGCTGTTGGCTGACAATTGGCTAATTTATGTGCATGTGTTTTTTAGAGAAACACTACAAGGCAGGAGAAGAAGAGTTCATGAAACAACACGACGCATGCAAGAGGTACCGTTTAAAATAAACCATCATGCTGCAAATACACAAGCAGGACACTTTTATGGGACGCACTGGATGTTGAATATTGTTTTTTGCAACGTGGTACGCATTTGGCAGGGATTCCACCTGCTGACGAGTCAAAAAACGGGTTATTTTATCTCCAAAAAGGCCTTTAAATCGATTCTCCTTTACCTGGATGGAGAAACTAATTACACAACACGAGCATTTATCCATATTGTCCAGGGGAAGACTCACAACCCGGGGTGTTGAATTTAAAAAGAAAAATGGCTCCATATTGAGAGTCTTGTTAGCAGCAGTGAGGCTTGTTCTCGTACGACAGGTAAGGACAGGTGAGGTGAAGGCCAGGATGTACACAGGTGTCTGCGGCTCATCCAGGGTTCATAACAGTTCCTTAAAATTGTATTCTACTCCAGAAAACAGCAGCTTACATGTGATAAAGGTTTCACAAGCTCTGGATTGACTTCCACTGTTATTATTATGGTAGATATCAGACAAAAGACCAACATGGCATCATCTTAAATGGATAAAATATGTAAATTGCAACACCTACAACTGATTAAAAGTCTTAACTTAATCCACAAGTCCTGAAGTTAATTGACTTACTTCCACATTATCACTCATCTAAGAAAAGCAGTCACAAACTACCAGTCTTTCATCAATTAATCCAACTAATTATCCTTCAAAAAAAGACCATTTCTTTTAAGGTAAATTCATTCTGACGGGTAGCATGCACGTCTTTGTGCAGTGCAGCATTGTGTGAAATGTAAACAAACCTTTACATGCAGAAAGACGGCTTGTTGTTCAAGTCAGTGATGCAACATCGAAGGAGCTTCGATCAAAACCTCTTCATACAGTTAGACGCGTACATTCTTAAATAAACACAAATCCTTCCCTGTAACTGCTTGTTTATGTCAGTAATAGCATCAAATTATATGTAAATGTACCTG